CTGGGCTCCCATGTAAACCCACTTCACTATTAAGCAATCACCAGTGGAAGAATCAGATGTTCCACAGTATATACAACTTACTCCGAACAGCCGTATCTGATTCTGGATGAAATACAGGCTCTTTCTACATCTGCGGACCATTATAATATGGAGTCAGGGCAGGGGTGCTTTTCTGTCAGAGACAGGATGGAAACTGTGGAACAAAGACTGGTGTTTTTACGTGGAATACTGCTGAGCAGAGACTGAAATTGCACAAGACAAGAATACTGTCAAGTTCTAAAAGGTAATAAGACACTACACAGCCAAGGGCAGTCTGGTGCAAATGGACCTGTCACTTGTTTCCATGTGCTTTCAAACCAGTTGGGTTTCGACAAGAGTCCTGTATTGTTTCGAGCACCAAGGCTGTAACTGTGCATGCTGAAGATCAGACTCATTATCTGAATCCTTCTTCAGAACTTTAATTTAACCAGTTTTCTGAGATTCTTTGTACCCTTCTTGGTATTTAATGCTCTGTTCTCCAGAACCCACCTAGTTTACAAGTATTTGGGGCTTCACTTCAACCCCTTCATGGATGGTAAGCCAAAAAAACCAAGAAGCCCAGGCTTAACTAGGTTAAATAACTTCTAGGTTAGGATGCCTTTCAAAGCACTCAGATTTCAGATTTTAGAACATAAAAGAACTCCTAAGTTATGATCATTGCCCTCAAGTGTGTTGTCTGACCCTCGACTTCCAGTCTCTCACTGTTTCAGTACTGGAAGAGTCCTTCCTGTCTTCTCACTAAGTCCCATTTTCCCAGGGAAATTTCTATCAACCTTGCTTGAAAGATTCCTCAAGCACCATCTTCTCCAAGTTTGTCCTCAGAAGATGCACACTCACTAGCCATGATTTTCAATGCACTATGGATTTCAGTCAGAATCTGAGCGAGAATTAAACATACCACCTTCTGTTACTGCAGTGATGGCTTTCAGCCATAACTCTTCTGGGTGGCAACAGATACTTTTTCTGGTATTCTGCCTAGAATACATCACAGTAGCATTAATTTAGACAAAATTTTATCTGTTAATCATGTGTCTCAAAAATGTTAGTTATAGTAAAAGTTGCAGGCTACAATTTAGGTCGAGCTTGACCCTGTCTTGGCTGAGAGAGAGGTTAGAGAATGATGAGAGTAAGGTTAGTGTCATGTGAATAAAGTGGAAGATGTAGTTTGGGGATGGACAGTCTAACCTGTGTCATTAGAGCTGGAGGAGCTTATTAAACATAGAATCATCCAACACCCTATGAAAGATGACTTTGAAATGCTATATATTTTACAAATCCACATCTAAGATCATGCTTCCACGAAATAGTTTGCTACCCACCTATTTACCTCACTGATGCCTTGCAGGCTCCTTGTTATGACTGAACCCTGTGAGTCTTTTGCATGGTATTGTAGTTAGACCATCTGACCAGCTGAAAGCAAGTGTCTCTACCATGGGATTATGGTCCACTTTTCTAGCCATGCTGAGCAGGATGGTTTCCTCATGATCGAATCATGTGCATTACTGTGATTTGCATAGGAAATTCTGCCCTAACTTGTGTAATCATTTTCCTGGAGATGGCACTTGAACAACATATGTTGCCTTTTGTCATTTTTACAAATATAACATGCCTTCAATATGTTCTGACAGGAGAGTGAGAATCTAGCTGATGCTGAAGAGAGATGTGAAGGACTCATCAAAAGCAAAATCCAGCTGGAAGGTAAAATTAAAGAACTAAGTGAAAGGATGGAGGATGAAGAGGAGATGAATGCTGAACTGACAGCAAAGAAGAGGAAACTTGAAGATGAGTGCTCTGAGCTGAAGAAAGATATTGATGATCTTGAACTGACTCTGGCCAAAGTGGAAAATGAGAAGCATGCAACAGAGAATAAGGTGACAGAGGAATCAGGGAATTATTCTTCCCCAGACAGTTTTCAGTTTAGTGGAAAGTTGCAGTCATTCCTAAGTGCTCTGAACGGAAGTGATAATGTGCCTAAGGCATAGGAGAGCGGTATTGCTACTTAATCACCTGTGACAGAAAATTTTTTGTTAAAATTATAACTTCCTCTTAGGAAAAATATATTTTCTGTGACAGTTCAAAAAGAGTTAAGAGGTTGTTAAGGGACTTGATAGAGAATTTCTGTATTTGGCTATTTGCAGTCATAAGGTACCAGTATATTTGTGTGTCCTGTGGATAATGGAGGACTAGTATGCTTGTGAGTAGCTCAGCACACAATGGCTATGCTGGTCCTTTCTCACATGCATTGAGGAGAACTGATTTTGCAGATGTCAAGTGTTTTCTTATAATTCTCTTATATTTAAGAAGCCCAGGTCTCAGCTAGGATGGACATCCTTTCCTTCCATTGACTTGATGACATAATGAGAGTTCTTCCTGACATCTAAGGTTCGGACTGTCAGGGTAGCAAGGAAAGTCAATATCAAGTGGTCATTAACTCATTTATCTCCCAGTAAAAACACAGGTCTCTTCACATACATCTCAGCAATCAATGTGAAGAGACAGAATTGAGATATATATGTTAGAATTCAAAAGCCCACGTCTGTGGTGACAGTGTTCAGTCCTGCTGTGGAAACAGTACTAGCAGAGATGTAATTGCAACCTTGAGGTTCCCTTCACTGCCATCACTGAGAACAATACTGAATCCTAAGTTTGCAATTACAGGTATGTTGGGCATTTCTACACTAATGCTTACAGGAAATCTACCTGGTGCTGGGTATTAGGATGAGGGAGTGTCTTATCAGATATCAGGGCCATATAGCTAAAGCTCTTAGCAGAGTGGACTTTCCTTATCCTTACTGTCAGGCTTTCCCATCCAAATGAGACAAATGGGAAGCAAGAGTCAGGCAGGCTAATGTACAGCACCTGATGTGTTTGAGATAAGATTGTTGGTGTGAAGTGCTCTATTGAAGTACAAGGAATAAGTTTCCAAGACAAAGCTAGCAGAGCTGGTATGTCCAGTAGCCCAGTTAGAAGCTCCAGCCCTAAGTTCGTGGTCACCTGTGCAACGGGCATAAGGTCATGTTATCGTGTTCCTTTCCCTTTTATGGAAAACTTAACATATCTTTGGCTATGCTTGGCACTTGATGATAGCTTTTTAAAGAACCTCACTTTCTGAGAATTTACAGCTGTTTGCCTAGCAAATATATCACATGCAGGAAATAATTTTTTTTGAGCAACAGTAACTCAGAGGCCTTTTGTAAATCCCAGTGGGAAAAGCTTGTAGAGGCAAGTGAAGATCCAGCACATGTTCCACTATAGAATTCAGGATAGGGCTGGTAGTCAAAAACAACTAAAGCAAGAATTCCTTCCATTGTAGGACCAGAGAGGTGTGACAGTCAGGCATGACACTTGTTGCTAGCCTCATCATGAATGATATAGACCTTCTGTGGAGAGCATTTTGACTACATCCATGCAAGATTTTGCAAGGATGTACTCACTGTGTTCTCAGTCTGTCGTTTCTCAAGGCACCCCCTCATAGTATGGATGCTGGCTGTCTAACAGGTTAAGAATCTTACTGAAGAGACAGCAGCTCTGGATGAAAATATTTCTAAACTCACTAAGGAGAAAAAGGCCCTCCAGGAAGCCCACCAGCAGACACTGGATGACTTGCAAGTTGAGGAAGACAAAGTCAGCACACTCACCAAAACCAAGACCAAACTGGAGCAGCAAGTAGATTATGTAAGAAAAAGGTTTTGGGTTGTGTAGGTGGATGGTCTGACAGATTAGGAGAGACTGGAAATCTGTAGTTGGGAGTATAAGCAACACCTAAATCAGCCAAGCCAGCTCTAATAATTTCAGCTAATAAATCATTGCCAGTTGACAGGGTATTGTGGAATCCAGTACAACTTTCATCTTTCCCTGCCTATTTAAACTATGTTCATTACTGGGTATTTCAGCATTGTAGACTTTTGTGTCCCATTTTAACCAATTAGCTGGAGCAGTATATCTGTGGCAGTTTGAATTTGCTGCAGTTAGTTGTTGTCTCTTACTATGCAGTGTGGATACACTCCAGGAAGTTATGAACACTGGGAATTTGTCAATACTTAGCAGTCTATATGCTAGGAACTGAAAAATTTTAATTTCTGTATTTTTCAGAAACTTGCATTTCAACTTCAAAAACCTGTATTTCAACAGTGCACAGCCAAGCTGTGGACAGCTTAATATCTGAAACCAAATCATAATGACAGCTCTCATCTTGCAGCGAGGGTGTAGCACAGGTGGAGATGAGATGTATATACAGGATCTGATTGTTTTCTCTATTCATCAATTTCCAACTCTAGTTAGATTTTTAAATCAAGAATACTTACCTTCAAAGTATAATTTATGTGTTTCAAAGTATGTTTTATGTGTTTCAGCTTGAAGGATCTCTGGAACAAGAGAAGAAACTGCGAATGGACCTTGAAAGAGCAAAGAGAAAACTGGAGGGAGATCTGAAAATGTCTCAGAATTCCATCATGGATCTGGAAAATGATAAGCAACAGATGGATGACAGGCTAAAAAAGTATAGCACTGACTTTTTATGCTCTTAATTCTAAAATTCAGATTTTATCTGAACTGTATTGGATTTGCACTCTTTTCTTCAACAGAAAAGATTCTGAAATTAGCCAGTTGCAAAGTAAAATTGAAGATGAACAGGCTCAAAGTTCTCAGCTGCAAAAGAAAATTAAGGAGCTTCAGGTAAAGTCTAAGAGTTATTTAGATTTTTAGTAGCTGAGCACAAGTTCCTTAGAATTAATTGATATTTATTCTTAGACTGTTCTACAAAAATATTTTCCTACACAATAATAAAAAATTAACATGGACTATGAGTGCTGTTCCCATCTCAGGGCACTTTTACAGAAGCTCTGGCCTCTAATCATACATAACTATGTAAGAAATTTTTTAAGTGAAGCTTGTGGCAGGCTTTGAAAATAGATCAGATACTGAATTATAACAGTAGTGAAGCCACTGAGAATTACTTCCCTCAGAAAACAATAGAATGTGGTATAATCTGTCATGACCAGGACAGAGATCACCTTCTAAATGCAGAGCCAGGAAGACAGTTCTTTTCAGTGCTATTATTCCATGGCTGTTCATCTCAGGGTTCCTTTCATCTTGTTTGCTGATGGATAGAGGACACTGCTTTGTTTTGGCCTGACCTTTGGGAAATTTCTAAGAAACTCGCATTCCTTTACATTTTCCAGTGACACATCCCCTATTTCTTCAGAAAAGTGAAATACTAGATTGTTTGTAACATAACAAATCCATTCTGAGCTATAACATAAATTAAAATACGAGATTTTACATTCACCGTTGTTCCAAAATTAAATATTGCATGTTCTAGGACACAATTCAATGAAATTTCTAGTGGTGCTTCACTTTCTATGCTGATATAAATAGATGTGAATTTTTCTCTTTATTCCTTAATGATAATTTCAAATCTGTTTATTCAGAAGTTCTCATTTAACCAATTAACTTTCACAGCTCGAATAGAGGAATTGGAGGAAGAAATTGAGGCTGAACATGCAATCTGTGCAAAGACTGAAAAGCAGCGAGTTGACCTCTCGAGGGAGCTAGAGGAGATCAGCGAGCACCTGGAAGATGCAGGAGGGGCTACCGCAGCTCAGATAGAGATGAACAAGAAGCGTGAGGCAGAATTCCAGAAGATGCGTTGCGACCTCGAGGAGGCCACGCTGCAGCATGAAGCCACGGCTGCCGCCCTGCGGAAGAAGCATGCGGACAGCACAGCTGAGCTTGGGGAGCAGATCAACAACCTGCAGCGTGTGAAGCAGAAGCTGGAGAAGGAGAAGAGTGAGCTGAAGATGGAGATTGATGACTTGGCCAGTAACATGCAGTCTGTCTCCAAAGCCAAGGTTGCTGCACAGGAAGAAACATTCCTCATCACTACCATTGTTCTTCTGAACAATTAGATGAGCTGAAGGATATGCTCTCTATCTCTTAACAGAGCAATCTGGAAAAGATGTGCCGAGTTCTCGAAGACCAGTTCAGTGAAGTCAGAACCAAAGATGATGAACATATGCGACTAATTAATGATCTGAACACACAGAAAACACGTCTACAGACTGAGAATGGTGTGTCCCTAGATGAAATGTAATAGTCCTGTGCCAAGTACTTAAATATGCTGTCTGAATGCCTGTGTATTTTGTAATATTTTCATCACTGGGTGATCTGAACAAAACTCAGACTGTAGAATTTCCTCCTGGTGGCAGCCATAGAAACTCCACTCAAGGAAACGTAAAACCAAACCAAAAGAAGCACTGTCAATCAAAATGAATGTGTGAGTTTATGGTCAGTTCATCCCCTTTCCTTTGATGCCAGCACAACATTTCTCTTTGATAACTTTTTCCTACTGATAGGAATGAAATTGCTACTCTCCCTTCATTTTACCACATTATATCTTGTAATCACTTTCCACATGTCTAGGTCTTCTCATTTGTACGTTTTATGTCTCATCTCTGTCTAAAAACCAAAATGTTTTCTTGTTAGGTGAACTTACTCAGCAACTGGAGGAGAAGGAGTCCTTGATTTCTCAGTTGACTCGAGGCAAACATGCTTTCACTCAGCAGTCTGAAGAGCTGCAGAGGCAACTAGAGGAAGAAAATAAGGTGACTTGTTTTAATTTGGACCAACAAGTTGTAAGATAAATCAATGAGCTAAAACAATAAATGAAAATTCTCCTCAGAGAAAGGTGGAGACATCAGAACAATGAAACTTTTGAACTTTGCCTTGGAGTATAACACAGAGAGAAGAGACATTAGAAGCGAAATAAGGAAGACAGTTTCAGTCCTTCTCATCATGCTTTCTGAAGTTCAAAAACATGAGAGAAGTGAATGAAAATAGCTCTGTGTGCATACCTTACTGCTACAGGAAATCCCTGAGGCAAAGAAAGCAGCAGCCAAAAAAAGGAAAGAGAGCAGGAGTGCAGGTGTACCCAGGGTTAGTTATGACAAAACAGTTTAAAGTTTCTTCCACCTTCAGACAAACACTAAACTGTGCCTGAAAAGCTTACAGGGAAACTTCTTGAGAGATAATACCCACCTTGTCTGTTGCTGGATTTCTTGTGTCTTTGCCTGAAGCACTTGGTGCAGATGTGTTTGAGAGGCAGTATCCCAGACAAGATGGACAAACGCCTAATCTTGTTATCTTGTTTAACAACAAGTCTGAAACACAGAGTCCCTATTGTCATTCATTTTGCTGCTTCTGTTACTCTAGCAACTGTTGCACATGGGCAGTGAGATGTGGAGTTTTTATCAAAAATAAAGTAAAAAAATCCAGTCACAAATTGTTAATGTTTTGACAATTTGTGTAATTTTAACTACCAAGGCCAAGAACACCCTGGCCCACGCCTTGCAGTCTGCTCGCCACGACTGTGACTTGCTCCAGGAACAATATGAGGAGGAGCAGGAAGTCAAGGGGGAGCTGCAGCGTGCCCTGTCCAAGGCCAACAGCGAAGTGGCGCAGTGGAGAACCAAATACGAGACAGACGCTATTCAGCACACAGAGGAGCTGGAGGAGGCCAAGTATGTGGAGGGATGATCTGGAGCAAGTAGAAGGGTATTTAAGTATAAATGTGAGAAGGAACTGGAGGAAACTAGAATATGCTTGTAGTGGGAATATGCAGAACAGCGTGCTTTGTAATGCATTAGGAGTGAAAAGGGGAGTGAGTAGAGGTTTAAAGGAGGAGAAGGAGCAGAGGCTTGGGAGTGTCTACGGAAAGGAGAATTCCAGTGCATTAGCTATTGACATAATCAAAGTAGTTGAAAAATCACTGTCTTTACACTGCCAATACTGAAAGTGTGTTTCTGGTTCCTCTCCACATTGGTATAGTCCACCCCTTGGGTAAGTATTCTCCCAGCCTATGCACCACTCCAGCATGCTGTGTCATCTCAGGCTTCTATCGATGCTCTCTGTTCACACCATCATAGTTTTCTGTGTTGCTCTCTCTGCCCTTCTCTCCCATGCCAAACTCCCTCCCTGCCCATTTTCTGAGAATGTCAGAATTTTCCTTCTCTCAGTGCTGATTGTCTCATCCTGCAGAAAGAAGCTTGTTCAGCACCTGCAGGAGTCAGAGGAGCAGATTGAAGTGTCAACTCAAAGTGTGCTTCACTGGAGAAGACAAAGCAGAGGTTGCAGAGGGAAATGGATGACCTCATGATTGATGTGGAGAGATCGAACACAGCCTGTGCAGCATTTGAAAAAAAGCAGAATAATTTTGACAAGGTTCATTCAAAGAGCCTGCCAGATCTGAACATTGTTAGACATTTGACAGGCTAGGCCAAATTCTGAAATTATGAAAGTTCTGCACCCACAGTAAGATAAATTACATTTTATCCAAAGCAAAGCTGTGGTAAGGAGCACATAATGGGACATACAGTAATCATAATGTCACAGTGTGAGTAACCTCAGATGACCACAGCAAACAATAAAGTAGCTTTCTGATAGTTTTAAAAAGCATGAAGTCTTCGCAAGGGATTTTGGGAGGATCCATATATGGTCTTTGATCAAGCAGACTGAGCAAGTATTCATATGCAAGCTGACAAGCCTGGACTTTCACCTTGTGCTAGTCTGCCAGCCTTGTATTTGGGTTAGGCAGAGCCTCAGACTCCTTTACAAAGTTCCAGCCTTCACTGCTTTAATAACATTTAAAAGAATCAACACCTTTCGACCAAGGGATGTTGCACAGCCCTGTGCCTTGGCCCAGCCTTGTGTAAGTGAATTAGGTGAATGTGCTAAAAAAGATGCCCTGCAGGACTGTGGTATCAATCTCAGGAGACAATCTGTAGAACATGATCTTTCTTTGTGGGCTGAGTGCAAGACCACTGGCTTCTGCAATAATAAAAAAGCTCACACAGCCTCATTCAGACTAACCGCACTGTGTCCAGGCTGATGTCAAACCAAACTCCTGCCTGAGAGCTTGGGGTATGCACTAGTGCTGTCTGAAGAAGATAATTTAAGTAGTTTCCACCAAAACAGCCAGAGTATGTATCACAGTGAATTGATTGTCACAGGCAGAGAACAGTCCAAAGCAAAAGACTGTAAGACAGGCCATGCCTTTTGGTTTCTTGTTCTGTAAATGTGCAGAGACAGGAGTGTTGCAGAATGGGTCATTCATATGCTCCTGTCACTCCAGGTCCTGGCTGAATGGAAGCAGAAGTACCAGGAGAGTCAGGCTGAGCTGGAAGCAGCCCAGAAGGAGTCTCGCTCTCTTAGCACTGAGATCTTCCAGATGAAGAATGCCTATGAAGAAATGCTTGACCAGGCTGAGACTGTCAGCCGGGAGAACAAGAATCTCCAGTGTAAGTTCAGATCTCTATCAGCTGGGATCCACCGTGAGTCCTAAGATGCTTCCATGTTTCTGGGTTACCAGAGCTCTGCCTCTTCCCAGGGTTTTGTTCTTTACGATTTTCCCACAAAGCTCAGGTTAGGTGACTTTCTTTCCTGTACAGCTGATCACAAAGTCACCTGTAAGCACATGCCTACAGCTTATTACAGCATCCTACTTCCTCATAGTATTCCCTCTCTTTCACACCATCATAATCCCATTCATGAATAGGGACCAAATTAACTGGATGGACAGAAATGATGATGAAACCAGATACTCATTTTTTTCAGATTACTTCAGTCACTGCCATTAGAAAAAATCTGGAGGGATATTGTCTATCTGCTGATTACTAGAGGACCATTCAGCTGTGGCACAATGGATTGGCATTTAATAAGCAAACTAACTGTATGAAGGAAACACAACTCAGTTCCTTTTTGTGAGCTGAATGATTCCTGGGGAGTATCTGAGGATAAAGAAAGCATTCAAACAGGACTGTCTCTGGAGATGTAATTTCACTGTGCAGAGGAAGTTGACATCATTCTCTGAGCTCACTCCAGTTGGTCCCTCTCATTTTCAAATTGCACACTGAACTGGAAATAGCTGGTAATCAGAAATAAAGATTGCACACAAGACAAGACCTATTATTTCTCCTCACTGCTGCATCACATTATATCATTATCTCTTCTGTCACTCCCATTGCCAAACAGCAATTGCAGGTGCCATTGACAACATTATCTAAGATGAGTTGAGGGTGTGTTTTCTGTCTTGCAGAGGAAATTTCTGATCTGACTGAACACATTGCTGAAACTGGAAAAGCTAATCATGGACTGGAGAAAGCAAAGAAGCAAACTGAGCGAGAAAATCGTGACCTTCAAGCAGCACTAGAAGAAGCAGAGGCAAGTGTCCTCATTAAGGGGGCTTGTTTTTAGAGCGATCATGAATGGAGAACATTTGGATATTATATGTTCCTTTTTATCCTGATACTGTCACAAAGCTGCAGTATGAGAGCACAAGCAGACCAAATAGCATAGGGACTACTCCTCTCCCGTACCAATGTGGCATTCCTTGCTGTGCTATCATGCACAAAAAGCTCAGTCCCAGACTAAAATTGAGGTCATTTTGCACCACCTGTTTGAATTTGCTCCTGTGAAAGACTAAAGAAAGGTCATTTGTATTTCAAAACTCTGACTTTTGTTTTCTAGTCAAATTAATCAAGGATGTTTTCAGAGCAGGTCTAATCCATACTTAAAAGCCTTTTCAATGTCACCTCCTGTTCAAAGAAAGCTGAATTTTGAAGAGAATTAAGATGATATTTCTTCAGTTCCTCCACTTTCAATGAATGGGAGTCAGTAAGACATTCAAAGAGGAGTCAGTTCACAGGATGTGGGTTCTGATGAACATGGAGAGGTTGCTGGGGATCAGCTGAATCTTGGAGGTGCCACTGGTACACTGACATTTTGTCAACACAGGCTGCATACCAGGTCCCACAAATCCATGATTTCTCAGTCTTCCTTACTGTCTTTGGCTATCCCTCAGCTCTTCATAACTTTAAATCTTACTTTTTTTCCCAATCCATGCCAGATTGCA